GTGTGGGGGCAGTGGCTCAGGGCATGGGCTCGGCGTACAGGAGTCCGGGTCCCTTCGTGGCCTGCTGCACCACCCGGCCCTGGCACAGCCTGACTGGTTCCTGGGCTCAGGAGGGAGAGGCTTGAGTAGCTGGGACAGGCTCAGGTGGAGGTTGTGGTGGCCATGTGCAGGCCCTCAGTGGCCACCCCGTGCCTGCAGGTTACACAAGTGCCGGCTCTGCTACAAGCAGCTCAAGAGCATCAGCGGCCTCGTCAGGAGCAAGTCGGGCCTGAGCGGCCGCCATGGCAGTGCCTTCCGCGAGCTGCACCTGCTCATGGCCAGCTTGGACTGAGGAACCCGGGGAGGGGGTACCCAGCAGCCCATGGGGCCTGGCCTCGGCCCCTACTCCTGTTCCCTGTGTGCCACTGGCCCATGAGCCTCTGCCCGGCCCCCACTGCTGCCCCAATGCCATCCTGGAGGCGGCGGCACTGGCCCACTGGCCACCTCCACAGCCCTGGACTCTGAGACAGCTCCAGCAACAGCTAACCAGCTTTGCCCAGCTCTTGCTTCTTGGGTCAACAAACCGAGCCCCAGGGCTGCTGCTGTAATTTATAAGGCGAATTTTATTAAATTTGTAACTATTCCCTGGTTCCCTGGTGGGGAAGCACTCCTGGCCCAGGACTGTCTTCCCTGGTCCCTTTAGAGCAGGTGAGACCACACCCCTCCAAGCCCAGGGGCTAAGCTCCAGGCCAGTGGCCAGCAGGGGGCAACAGACAGAGCTGCCAGGAAAGGACAGAGCAGGCTTACTCCTGAAGGGGAGGGCAGCCTTCTGGGGCTGGAAGTGGGGCACCATCTCCCCCATCTCAGCCACTCTCCCAGCCTCCCTATGGGCCCCTCCGAGGCTGACAGATGCCCAGGCCCAGCTGTGCACTGCAGGTTGCCAGTCTCACAGAATGGCCACCACCAGGCTCCAGAGACGAGACAGGAAGGCCACTAAGCCCAAGCATCCTCTGATGAGGGCTGCAGACAGCACTCACTCTCTGGAGGAGCCCTGTGCTGGAGGGCCAGAGCAGATCCCATGTCCCGGTTGTCATTCCTAAAAGGCCTTCCTCTCCCGAGGCAGCACCCGTTGGGTTCAGCTGATCAGGGGAGAGCGCCCTGCACAAGTTCCCTGGGGTGAGACCAGTTGCAGACCCCATGGGGGGGGCCTGCACTGGGTGTCAGGGCCTGGTGGCACCGGGAGGAGGGGGTGCTCGCATTACAGTTGGGCTGTTTGCTAGAGGGGGACGGTCAGGGCAGAGGGTAGACAATGAGGTTGCAGCCCCAGCGTGGTCCTGGCAGGCCCCTGAAGCTCTCAGGCCTCAGTCTCCCAGGTCTGACGAGGGGATGCCACCACTGGATGGGTGATGGGTTTTGACGGGCACACAGTAGGCATCTTGCTGTGGAGGCATAAACAGCAGGCCAGACTCCTGGGTGGGGCTGGGGGAGGCGCTGGCTCTGGCTCCCCCCAGGTCAGGGTGTGTTTCTGACTTCCACGGCGGGCTGAGGACCTGCCAGCGCCCCCATCCACAGTCACACAAGAGCAGCTCACGATACCAACTCGTCCAGAACGTACTGTGTAAAAAGGCTTTTATTTTAACAAGTAAAAATGGCTAAGCTTCCAAAAGTTCTTAAATAGGATCTGAGAGGGAGGAAAATGTCAAGAGGCCAGTGAGCATGAAGAGCCTGGTGCCAGGCAGATGGCGCGCAATGGGGTCCCCTGCCCACTGGCCTCCTCTGCCAGCCATAAATACAGCCCGGCCCGTGGCAGGGAGGCCTCGCTCCTATGTACACCTAAGAACACTATGTACACGCCCGGTACCGGGGTCCCCTCCTTGGAGGACAGTGGGGGCCGGCCTGCCCCTTGGTGCCACCAGCCACCCAGTTCCCATGGTTCTCATGCCTTCCTGGAGGCTCCTCAGCCCACCCATTCGAGGGGCTGCCCAGCCCTGCAGGCTGAGGGGAGGGGTCTGGTCAGCCCAGGCCAGGGCCCTTGGCACCCCATGCCTGGGGAAGAGGCCCACCCTCCCACGCTCCTGCCCTCCCCACGAGGACAGAGCTCTCCGATGGCCCAGGCCTGCCAAGCACAGCAGGCCATCCCTGCCCTTCCAGCCCACGCCGTTTGCGCCCAGAGCCACAGTTGAGAGACACTGTTTCCTTCTGAACGTGTTTCTCTTCTCTGAGGGAGACGGGGCCGAAGAGGTGCCTCCACTCCCGCCTCCGCCTCCTGGGGTCCCGGCGGCGCTGCAGTGCAAGCTGGCCAGCAGGGCCTTGGGAGCTGGCTCCAGGCCCGGCAGGGTGGGCACATCCGTCACACAGGCACCGATCTCGACTTCCCTGTAGGAGGGGAAGGCAGGGCTGTCAGCACCGGACTGAACCTCCTCGCAGGGGCCACAGCAGAGGCCGCCAGAGCAGGAGGGAGGCGGGCAGAAGCACACAGGCAAGCAGGCAGCGGAAGGACCCGGCTTGAAGCAGCTGCGCTCCCTGCAGGGCCCTGCAACCCAAGGCAGGTGGCCACTGGCCCCACACTCACCTGGAGACTACAGCCCCGACAGTCAGGCTGAAATCAAAGTGACAGGTGTCTCACTGGTCAGCTTGCCTCGGGCCAGGACCCCACCGGAACCTGCTCTCCTGCCCCTTGGACTCGAGGACTAGCCGGGCTGGTCTATGAGCAGGACCAAGCAGGGCTGGAGCCCTGATTCTACTCCTGTGATGGGGCTCCTCATAGGGACAAGGGTGAGCCCTGCCCTCCCCACCCTGGAGCCGAGGCCCAGGGCAGGGCTCCTTCCTGCATCCCGGCCTCTCCAGGGGCCTGAGCTCCGGGCACTGTAGCATCTGCCCAGTGACTTCCAGGGGCAGGAGGTGGGGAAACGGGCTGTGCAGACATTGTGTGAACTTTTTAAAAAGGAAAAAGCCCATCCAGGTAAGGGCAGTCGTGGCTGTGGACATCTCAGGGGAAGCTACCCACCACCACCCTGGTCCCCCTCCTCCAGGCTCACCCGAGGGCTGCAGCTTCCTCCGGATGGAGCCAGGGCGGCTGGTGGTCCCAGAACCGGGGGCCAGGTGGGCACGGGCTGCAGGCTGTGGCGTCTGGCAGGCTGGCTCCCACTGTGAGGAGTGCAGGGCAGGTGGGCTGGGAGCCGCGGCTGCCCTGGCATCAGCCGCTATGTTCTCCGCTCCCCTGCCCTGGCCTCCTAAAGCTCAGTTTTCTCATCTACAAGGTGGGCATGGCGTGGCGAGGGTTCCCCACATCGGAGTCATCACGAGCACTCGCGAGTATTAGGCGAGGTAATACTCGTCCGTGTAGAGACGTGAACTAGCCACTACCGAGTACCTGCTCGCCGTGCGTGGGGCCTGCACACCACCTCCGACCGGCTCACGGCCCCCCGTGGACCTCTGAGGCCAAGGAGAAAAACTCGGACTAAAGAAGCTACTGGGTTTGGGTTCAAGTTCTAGTCCCACCCTCTTCAAGCAGCTTCCCCTCCCCCACAGCTCCAGCTTTGCCCCACCACACACACCTTCCTGTCCACACCCCAGCGTCTCCAACCCAGTGACAGGCCTGTGGCTGTCCTCATACCTCCAGATGCTCCTGGCTCGACCAGGACCCCAGCTCCGCCCGGCGTGCCCCAGGGCCCAGCTCTACCGAGCGAACCCTCTCTGCGAACTTGAGGGAATAGAGCGTCTCGCTGGCGTTCTTCTCCACGGGGGACACCTAAGGGACACGACAGCTCACAGCCCACCCAGGCCGTCCACAGACCCAGGGCAGGCAGCACTGTCATCAGGGGGCATTCACAGCCAGGGGGTCTAGAAGGCCTCCTGGGGAAGGCTGAGAGAACTGGGAGCTGAAGGGCCATGGAGGTGGCAGAGACGGGGTCAAAGGCATAGAAGAGGGATCCAAGAGGTCCACAGGGCACGTGGCCGGGCTGTGTGGGGGCTGAGGGAAGCACACCTCACTGACTTTGGGGTTGCTGTTCACGAAGGCCCCTTTGCATGGCCTGGGCTCCTGGGTCTTCCACACTGGGAGCTGCCCCCCACCGCCCGGGGTCCTCACCTGCACCACCATGAGGGTCTTGCTGTCACCACTCAGCGAGTCCTGCAGCAGGTAGGTGAGCTTGGAGTTGCGGAAGGGCACATGGCCCTGGCGGGAGCGCAGAGCAGCAATGACGTCCCCCAGGGCCGAGAGCGACTTGTTGATGTGCTGAGCCTCTCGTAGGCGGCTGCCCTCTGCCCCCGACTTGCCCACGCGCTCCGAGCCGGCCAGGTCCACCAGGTTCAACTTCCCTGTGGAGTGGCGGCAGGCAGGTCCAGGCTGTCTGCGAGGGGGGCTGAGGAGGCCCCGTGGCCGGGCTGCCCGTGGCCCTCACTCACCCGTGGTGCGGAGGCCCGTGCTGCAGTCCACGCCGTGCACGGTCACAATGAGCAGGGCATGCGAGCGGGAGCTGTGCTCGTTCAGGTTGGTGAACTCCGTCGTGCGATTGGTGTGGCCGAACTCGAACACCTGGAGGGCAGAGGCATGGGGTTCGGGAGGGGGTCTTCCGAATCCCCTGGTCTCCTTGAGACCCCAGGGAGAGATGGTGTCACCCTCTGCATTTCAGACTGAGGCTCAGAGGGGCATGGGTTCTGGCCGCAGGCGACATTCAGGGCAAGGCACAGCCTGCATTTGAACCCCCTCCTGTCCAGCTCCAGGGCAGCTCTGCCTGTGGGCGGGGTCTCCCCAGCGTTTCTCTGCCTGGCCCCATTCTCCAGAAGGCCCAGCTGCGGCCCCACACCTTGTTGATGTCGTCCACGCTCTGCACCTGGAACTCGGTCAGTCCTGGCACATACAGCTGCCCGCTGCCATCTGGACACAGCCGGATCTCCAGTTTCTCCTGAGGCTCCTTCCCCAGCAGGTCCCTGAGGGGCAGGCAGGACCGTCTCTCCCTTGTCCCTCTTCTGGCTCTGCTTACACTGTACCAGCCTCCAGCTAGAACGCCCCCTCCACCCATCACATCTAAGAGTCTGCTTAGCCATTAGACTTCGCCCTTCTCTTCAGCTCGTCCCCTGCTCAGGTGAAGAGGTGGACCTGACTATGCCCAGGTGGCCTGTGGGTGGCGCTCCTGTTGCCTCCGCAGTGCACTGAGCTCCTGGGTACAGCCCCCCCACCCCCAAGGCTCAGAGGAGCCTCTCCGCCCCTGGGCACCATCCAACCTTCACGGCTAGGTCCCTTCACAGCCTCAGCTGATCCCTGGACTGCCTTCAGGAAGACCCCGCTTCTCGTCCACACCGCCCAGCACTGCCCCTGTGGACCCAAAGCTGCCCACGCCATGCAGCCTGGTGTCCATGCCCCAGGCGCCGACCTGAGGACCTCGTTGTAGATCTCGGCGGCGCTGACAGTGATGGTGTACTGCCAGTCGGACGCCTTCTCCTGCACCTCGGAAAACAGCAGCTGCAGGGCCCGCTGGTTGATGCCTGGGTTCTCTGGGGTCCCCTGGGGGTGCAAGGAAAGGCTCCAGTGCATCAGGCCTCTCCTTGGCACGAGGGGTAGGCGATGCAGATGCTCACGCCCTCAGCCCCTCATGGGTGAGGCTCCCTGTGTGCCAGTCTGCCCCTAAAATGCCCTGCACCAGCTGAAAGCCACCTCATCTCCTGAGTCAGCCTCTCCACCTTAAAATGGGAAATCACAGTTTGTATGCTGTGATGATGCAGTGAATGGATGTAAAATAAATCAATTTAAAATAAAAAAAAACAAATTTCACCCAGTTTTAATAATTAAAAAAAAATCTGTATTGGTTCACCTTGTATGCTGTAAAGATGTACAGTGATTGAATATAAGAAAAAAAATTAAAATCAACCAATAAATAACAATTTTAAAACTGTTAAAAAAAAAAGGCACCACCCTGCCCTGAGACTAAAGCAGGGCACCCAGGTGGAGGCAGGTGCATGCCTGGCCCCGCCAGGCTACCTGGAGGGGTACCAGAATGCATGATTTCTTTGGCAATGCCCAGAGGGCAGTGCCCGGTGTCAGGGAGGCCACGAGTCAGGCTCTGAGTGCTCGAGGTCCGGCCCGGGCAGAGCGGGCAGGTGCCCTGGGGCAGGATGGGCTGGCCAGCCTTTCTAGAAGTGGCAGAGCCCCGACCCGGGCCCTGGGAGCCTGGCCCCGCCTCCCTCCTGCTGGCACCTCCCCCCACCTCCATCCCCACCCCCCTTCTTCATTTCTGCCACAATGGGGCCTCCTGGCCAGGATTCCATGCACCCACCTGTTCCAGCCTCTTAACGGTGCCTCCTCAGGGAGGCCTCCTCTCACGCCCTTCAGCGCCCCATCCCTCCCTCACTGTTAGCTCCTCACCGTTGGTTTATTTCTGTCCCTGGCACCCGACGCGGCACATGCTGATTTCCTGTGCTCACTGCCAGGCTGGCTCCATGGGGCTGCCTGATATCCCCAGGCCTCAGCAGGTGCGCTGGAGGACAGGGGAGCCTGCTGCGCACCGTAACTCTAGGCAACCCCAAGATGGAGCTGGAGTCCAGGGTATTGGATACACCTCCAGCCCCTCATCCTTCCCACCTGGTCTGGCCTGGCCCCACTAACCAGTCTTGCCCAGCCCAGAACTGAGAGACCAACAGGGTCCAGACAGGGAGAGAGAGGGCGGCCACACGGGTTCCCATGGGAGTCCAGCACCTTCACCACCACACCACCAGCAGGGCCAGTCCAGCCCTCTTCCCTGTCTAGAGCCTGGGACACCTCCTCCTCCCCTACTTGGGAAATCCCATAGCACCCTCACAACAAGCCAGGGAAATTCTAACAAACCAAGAACCCCAAGTCCCAGCTTTCTGTTTCTGTCTATAGCCAAGATTCTCCCTGTCTCAGTACCCCCATTCCCTTGCCATGCTGCCTACCCACTCCCTGCCACACCCCATGGAGAGAGATGAGGCCCGCCTGGCCCTGGGAACTGTGGGTAAGGCCAGGCTCCCCACAACGGCCTTCATGAGGCAGGCTTCTCCCACTGCCCCAGGGTCTCACAAGGGCCCAGGCCCACATGAGACAGCCACCAAGCAAATGGGAGCACCGTGAACACGGTATGGAAATGAAAGCCTGCCTGGGGCTCACCCTCAAGCCCAATCGCCCTGACGACAGAGTCTGTGGCCCCCTCATGCTTGGCCCTGAATCCTGCTGGGCCCATCACAGATGCTCTTGGGCAGGATGCCCCCTCCAGGCCTAGTGTCAGGGCTCACAAAGGAAACCATGGCCTCTGCTCCCAAGGGGTTGCAAGCACCCGACAAGGCAGAACACACTGTGAAAAACGCTAAGACTAAGGAGGGGAGCCCTGGCAACAGCAGCAAGGGCATGGTCTTCGCCCTGAACCCCTGCCCCATCAGCGGGCACCCACCTCCATCGTGTATGTCTTGCCGGCACCCGTCTGGCCATAGGCGAAGATACAGACGTTGAAGCCGTCAATGCAGGAGGTGATCAGGGCCTGAACCTCCTGGAACACCTGGGAGGGATGTGAGGTGGAGGGTTGGGAGGCTTTCAGGCCAGCTGGGATCAGGGGCCCCACCAGCTCCAAGTCCAGCCATTCCTACTCTAACCACACTGTCCCACAGCTACCATGGCCCACCTGCCCACTGCTGAGGATTCATGACCAACCAGCCGTGTGCATTAGTCAGTGGGCAACCTGGGAGCCCAGAGACTGAAGGGAGGACAGGGCAGCGCCTACTTCCCGTGAACACAGGAGGGAGCTCTGGCGCCCTCCCCCAGCTTCTCCCTATCTCAAGGAGGGCTCAGCAAATGAAGGCACCATGTCCAACCTGGGCCTGCCTGCCCACAGAAAGAGGACCAGAAAAGGTAGGGCCAGACATTAGAACGGGAGAGCACAGGCATGGCGGGCTGGGCAGGTTGGCACTGGACAGAGATGAAGGAAACATGGATGCTGAGACCATATGATTCTCTCAGCACTGAGGGCTCAGCATGGGGGATTTGGAGTGATGGGGAGGCCCTAGAAGACCCGTGGAAGGAAGGTACTCCAGGCTAGAGGCCTGCTTGGGGGCTGGCCCAGGGCTGGTACAGATGGTGGGGGAGGGCATCTGGTGGGAGGAGCCAGGGTGGGCAGGGCGCCAGAGATGGGAGGAGCCACGGGCAGGTGGGAGGAGCCACAGGCAGGTGGGAGGAGCCACGGGCAGGTAGGATGGGCTGCGCAAGCATCTCTCTTCCCCAAGGAGGCTTCTGAGGCCCTCGTCTCTCCTCCAGAGGGAAGGAGGGACCTGGTCTAGTGTCCCCCCTACATCTTTGTCCACTCTCATCTTGCCCCCTCCCTGTGGGTCTGTCTGTTCCTCTCTCCACTGCTTTCCTTTCCCTGCAGACACCCTCCCGCACGGGGCCACACTCACGTCCTGCTGTGAGGCCCGTGGGGAGAAGACCTTGTCCAGTTCGAAGGATACAGGCTTGCCCTTGTGCAGCAGGTGGATGATGGAGTCGTCGTCAGGATCAAAGGTCACGGCGTTGGTTGCCTCAGGTCCTTCCCCGTCCTCTTTGGTGACTGGCCGGACGCGAGCAATCACCCGGATGTTCCCTGGATTGGTTGGGGGTAGAGAGATGAGCCCAAACCAGAGCAAGACCAGATGGTCTCCACTCTGAGGTCCACTGGTGTCCTAGGCAGTCAGACTCCACGAGTGACCCAGGAGTCTCCTGCCCAGGGCAAGGTGGCCGCAAAGCTTTTATCAGCTGCTCACTGTACAGTATGAACCAGCCTACTGCCTTGTGTTCCTGAGCAGACCAACTGCGGATGGGAAGGTCAGAAAAGTCAGCTGCGGGGATCAAGCACTGCAACACGGATACTCTTACTCTTCTTTTCTCTCCGGGCTTCAGTTTCCTCAGCTACACAGAGGGGCTTGCACCCAACCAGCCAGGGATCTGTTCCATCACGCTATTAATAAAAGGGCACTGAGAATGCCTGCACAGGCCTTGGGGCCGGCAGAGGCAGAGAGCAGGTGGGCAACTGGCAGAGCAGCTGACGAGTGGACAGGACAGCCATGCTTGCTGCCAGCCCACTGGGGGATTCCAGTGCTCCTGGAATAAAGAGAAAGCTACCTCTGCCCTACACCAGCCAGATGCTCCCACACCCTTCACTCCAGCCCACATCAAAGCCACTGCTCTAGCTGCACCTCCTTAGGGAAACCCTCCAACACTCGCCTGTCCAGAGCCCCTCCTGGCCCTGGTAAGAGGGCAGCATTAGGGCTCTCTGGGTAATTAATGACCATGGTCCATTCTCCCAGCTAAAGGTGAGCCTAGTGTCTGGGGGCCATAGCAGAACCCTCCGAGCCTGGAACAGCCCCTGGCACTGAGCAGGCACCCCCTAGACCTCTGTTTGGTGAACGGGGGTGGCTCAGAGCTTCACCAGGCCCCAAGTCAGAACGAGTGGCATCCAGCCACCCAGCATCCAGTGTTTCTCAGCCACCAGGGCCTGGGAAGCAACCTGCCACGGGCACTGGGGTGAGAGCCTCGGAGCTGGTCAGACCCAAGTTCAAAGCCAGGGTGGACTGCTGACCAGCCTTGTGGTTTTGGGGGAGCCCCCTGACTTCTCTGTGCTTCCGTTTCCGTATCCACAAAGAATGGGACTAGTTCCTCCCAGACAGGGCCCAGCTCCCAGGATGGCAGCCCGCTGGCCCACAGCCACCTTTCAGCCGCACGAGCTCGTTGTGGCACTTCTTGCGCAGCTGCAGCTCCCGGCGGTACTTGCGCAGGAGCTCCTGGTTGTTGCTGTTGACCTCCTCGATGGCCTGGCCGACCTGTGGAGGACGTGTGCCATCGGGCCGCTGCAGCAGCCTTGCTCACCAGCCGCCCGCCCCGCCAGGCTCGCCACCCCCACACGGGGCTGAGCACTTGACGTGCACCGTCCTCTGCCCAGCGGCAAGAGCCAGGACCCGGCCTCCACTCCGTGGCACCCACACTTGACTACAGCGTGATCGGGCCAGATGCGAATGCCGGCTCCCCCTGAGAGGCTGGCGAATCTGAGATAACTGGCTCGGTGTCTTGGAGCCTCAATTTCTTCATCTGTCGAGTGGGGATCAAACCATCTAACTCACATATCTGGACGAGATGATAGGTAAAAGTCTCCGAGTCATAGTTCCCGGGACAAAAAAAAAGAAGATGCAAAACCGCACAGACGGGTGTTCCCACAGACTGGGAAGCATATCTACACGCTGACATGGGCATCAGTAGGTCCAAGCACACTCAGAACGTCCTGGGAAATGCTGGGAGGCAGGCGCCTTAGAGGCCTGGGGTGGGGCAGAAGAAAGGCCACTGGGGCCTTCTTATTATTATCCGAGGCCCTTCTGCAGGGCTTGACTTTTCACCGAGTGTATGTGCTCATGACATTTTTGGTTTTTTTAGGGACTGGTTCTTACTATGTTGTCTGGGATGGCTTCAAACTCGCGATCCTCCTGCCTCAGCTTCCTGAGTAGCTGGGACTCCAGGCACATGCCACCATGCCCAGCTGAAGGACAACGATTTTCTTTCTTTCTTTTAATTGCCAGAGTGTGTGAGCACTCACTAGAGAGAGCTGCCCCTGCCCACCCCATGGAGTGTGGCCACACCACAATCCCTTCTCCTCCATCTCTCCAGCCTGTTGGAATCCTGGGCACACATGCATACTTGGCAATTTAAAAAAAAAAAAAAGAGTCACCAGGCCAGTATTTGAACCATGGTCGACCATATGGAATCCAGCTCCCTTTAACCACTAGGCTATGGGACTGGCCCAAGAACTATTTTCTATTCCCAAAATACATTAATCGCTGAGCACTATCATACAAATTCAAGGAGCCAATAGCTAGAGAAGGCTCGGCACCTAAAAGGCACTTAAGAGATACACTGGTGGGCCAGCAGGTGGCCTGCTGGTTACGGCACTGGATTTCCACATAGCTGACTGAGGTTCAAGTCCTGGACCCAGTGGCTTGAAAAATCACACAAATATATAAAGAAATAAATATTTTAAAAGAGAGAAACTAGCCATTCTCATATGTACAAGTACAGCTTTAAAACCTTAAACCTAACAGATATAAGCACATATGTAACATGTTTTGTATGTGTGTACCATGCTTGGAATGTGAAGATATAATATGAAGTGCATCATATTTGGAGTCACAGCAACAAATCCTCAGATACCTGCACCTAACCCAAGGGTAGCAGTGTAAGTAGGGGAGATCGGGTTTGGGGGCTCTGTCTGGGTTTTGGAACGTGGTGCTGGGTAGATGTGTCTGCCCAGGGCTCCCGGGCCTGTCCTCAGCCCTGCCCCCCATGACTTACACTCCCACCGCTCGCTCACCTCGGCCTTGACGCTCCTGAGGGCCTCCTGCAGCAGCAGGGGGAAGCCGCGCACCTGCCGCTTGAGCCCATTGTAGTCGTTGGTGAGGGTCCGCAGTGCTGGCTGCAGCGTCAGCAGGTTGGTCCGGACGCCTACGGGGACACGAGGGGTGTGAGGTGACTGAGGTGTGGGTCACAGTGTGGGACAGGCCGGGGCCCAGCCAGGCCTCACCTGCCAGGTTTTCATGCACAGCCTTCATCTCCACCTGGGCTCTGGCAAAGGCTTCCTCGATGGCCCGGTTCTTGTCTTCCTCCAGGGACTGCATCTCCTCCAGCATCTGCCCGTGTGCCCGCTCCAGCTCTGACTCATACATGGCAATCTGGTGGCCAGGCCAGGAAAAGGCTCAGTGCCATGGGGTACAGAGAGTATGGGGTACAGAGAGTATGGGGGGCAGGTACCAGGAGAGCAGGCTTTCCCCCTGCCTAGATTCACGTGAAAACACACACACAAGCTGTACGCATGAGGAGAGGGCCTTCACTCCCCCGGCAGATAGAGAGCCCCTAGAGCTCCCGCCTCCCTGCATCAGCTCCAGCACTGACCTGGTCCTGGCCACCTAACAGGTGCACAGGTCGTGTGCACCCAGCAGAGGAAGGAAGAGTTTGTATGCCAATGACAGGTTCAGCCTAGTGCTTATAGAACGCAGCCAGTGTGCTGGGCCCTGGGGGAGGAGCTGGGATCATGCCCCTGTGTCCCCACTATGAAGTGGGTTCTGTGACCAGATTGCTTTACAGATGAGGAAGAGACTTAGAACTTGCCCTTGGTCGTATGGCCAGAGAGACGAGGAAGAATTGGACCCCAGGACCCCAGGTCTGCAGAGTCCCCAAATGCTTGGCCACTGCACCGTACTTGAGGCCTGCCTCTGGCCTTCCAGCCCGGCAGCACCCGTACGCAGCCTGCGCACCTGTGCCCGGAGCTGCGCGGTCAGCTGATGTGAACTCTGCAGCTGCTGCTCCATCTCCTTCAGCACCTGCCTCTGCATGGCCACCTGCTCCTGCAGGTGCTGGTTCCGGGCTTGGGACTCACTGAGGGCCTGCTTGGTCTTGGACGACTCCACCTCCACTGTCTTGATGATGTACTGCAAGACAGGAGGGACAGGGGCCTGGAGGTGGTGGGGCAAGGACACCCCACCAAGGACCCCACATGAACTACAAGGTTCCAGCTTCCCAAAATGCTGCAGGGACGCCTGGAATCTTCTCACCACAAGATCCTACTGTGAGCCTAGCCACAGCCCCACTGAGTGCAGAACAGATCAAAAGGGCAAGGAGGGCAGGATCTAGAGGCTGCACTGCATCTGTGCCTGGTGCGCAGTGGGTCCTACAAGCACTGACTGCTCAGTACCTACCCCGTACCTGGCCCTGCACAGCTGGAGGGGGAAGGGCAAGACTGAACCCAGAACCGGACGATTCCTTCAACTGCCAGCACCAGGTCAGGCCTGCACAGGGCATGACCCTTGGCTCCCATCTGCAGCTCACCTTGACAGGCGGGGACTGGGCCCGCAGGCTGGCGATGGTCTCGTGGCTGTCACGCAGGCGCCGGCTGAGCCGCTCCTCCTCCTGCGCCTTCTCGGCCAGGCAGTCCTTAAGCCGCAGCTCCACCTCGGCCAGCCGGTCAGTCTTCTGCTGCACCTCTAGGTTCAGCTCTGACAGCATGCCTTTGTTCTCCGCCACCTCCAGCTGCAGCTGGGACAGCTTGTCGCGGAGCTGGGCGCTCTCCTGCAGACAGTCGGCAGGCACAGGACAAGTGTGAGGCAGGCAGAGGGACAAGGCAGGTCGCTGTTAGGCTGGGGTCACCGTTAGGAGCCAAGCCCTCCAAGACCAGGGCGGGGTCCTCATGGCCTACTTACCTGGCTGTGCTCGCACCCTGGACAGGGGGCGGCGGGCTTTGCCCGCAGCTCCTGCAGCTCCTGCAGCTCCGCCTCGCAGCGCCGCATCTCCTGCCTCAGTCGCTCATTCTCCACCATCAGCAGGTCCCGGTGCTTCTCCAAGTCCGTGCCTCCCTGCAGAGAGCCAGGGCCCAGGGGGGACATGTGTTGAGGGCAGGGGGTGGGAGAGGCAGAGAGAGCACAGGACAGGGGAGAGAAGAGAGGTGAGGAGAAAGACAGAGAGAGGGAGAAGAGAAGAGACGTGAGAACAGAAGATAAGAGAGGACACTTGGGAGGGAAATCGAGAGGTTACAGCGGGAACAAGAGAGCCAGAGGCAGAGGAGCAGCTACTGCTCTCCCCACCGCACCCCTCCCCTGAGTGTCAGAACAAGAGCAAGTCGTATTTATACACAGAGTTCACACTCCTAACTTTAGCCAGTCAACGAGACGAACCTCCCGCCCCTCTGGAGTCACACGCCCTGACGGTACCCGCGGGTGGTATGAAGTATTCTGGGTGCATTTTGAAAGAGGACAGCGGCCTGTGTGGCCAGGACACAGCCCCTATTTGGGTGGGACACGAGGGCTCTGGAGAGATGGGGTCGCCCTCCTGCATCTGCCAGGCCAGTCCCCCCGCCCACCCCTCCCCAGGATGGTGCTGCCCAGCCTCACCAGCTCTGACCGCAGACGGCTCACTTCCTGGGCCTGGCTAATGAGCTGCTCCTTCAGATGTTCCACCTGTCAGTACAAAGCCGGGGACACAGTGAGCCTCAGGCCTCCTCCAGCCCAAACCCAGGTCCCGGCCCAATGTCGGTAATGACCACTGTGCCTTCTCGAGGTTTCCTGAGGCGCCTCGGCCTTGGGCCTCCCTGCATTCAAGCATCAGGCCAGGCTCAGAACTCCAGGCAAGAGAATCCTGGCCTGGTCCCGACAGCCTCTGCGCTCTTTCTCACTGCAGGGCGAGCCAGCCCAGGCTCTTCAGAGAAGTTTGGAGGGCAAGTGCAGGGGGGTAACTAAGGTCCCACTCAGCCTGCCCCAGAAGCTGCATGCCCAGAGACAGGCCGCCGAGCTCAAGGCCTGCTCACTGGCACCTTCTCACACCCTGGCCCACCTTGGTCCATGTCATTTTTTTCTCCTTCCTTAAAAGGACCCCCCCAATAGAAAAACCCTGGACCCTATACATCCTGTGTCCATCCTTGCCCAGCCCCCAGAATTTTTCACTTGCAGCAGTTTCTGGCAAGTTGATTGGTAGAGATGGGTCTGCCAGTGGCCAGGGTGAGTTTGGGGCCTATATCCATCCCACTCCCAATATGCCTTGCAGGGGAGCTGTGGCCAATCAGGGGGAGACAGGGTGAGATCCCCACTGGGAGGTGGGGTGGAGATAGCACCACTGTGCCAGCCCACAGAGAGCAGACCCCCGGACAGCAACCCTGCCCTGGAGCCACTCCCCTCTGAAGGCCCCAGACCGTGGTCCCACATCAGCCCACCCCCAGGAACCTACCCGAGGGAGATAACCAACCAGACAGACAGCAGCATTCTCAGGGCACGCTGGGGTTTTCCTTGCAGAATGTTCTGGGATAAGCCCCTCTCGCCTTGGAGAATGTGCAGGGAGAGTCGGACTTTCTCTGTGGTGCTTAGTGGGGTCTCACGAGCTGCCCACCAAAGCGCTGAGTTCTGATCAGTAAATGACAGGGGCCAGCCTCTGCTGCCATGGGGACAGCCAGGCAAGGCGGGTGAGGGGCTCCATGGGGCTGGATGTCCAAGAGCCACTTGAGGAGGGGCCACACTATGCTCCCCATGGTGGGCCCGGTGGGAAAAGCGTGTCCAGTGTCACCAAACTTCCTGGTCCCAAGGGGCATGTGTAAAATCTCCCCACTTTATATGGCTGGGACATCATCAAATGGCAGTCCACGGGCAGTGCTGGTCAGCGAGGTCACTGACACCCGGGGCTGCAGAGGGTGGCTGGACCATGACAGTCAGACTCTGCGTCACTGGGCGGGTTGGGATCTACCATCTATACTGAGACAAAGGGCAAGGACATGGAGGGGTTCCAAGATGCAAGACTCAGAGGGCTGAAGTTGGACCAATTGACCAGGTCTCCCCAAGGACATATAGGTGACCTAAAGGTTAGGCCCCAGAAGGCCACTCTGTCACCACCTTCACCAGCAGGTGCCTTCTTAGCAATATGTGGGGCCATGGACCAAGCAGGGGACAAAGCTCCTGCCACTTCTCTGCCCGCTGCCAACGCCCCTCTGCCATCACTAGTGCCGGCATGAGGGGTGCTCAGTCCTTCGGCCCCAGCGTGGCAGTTAGGGACAGTGCATATGAGGCAGCTTTCTGTTCCTTAGTCATGACATTGAGAACAACCTGATGACCAAGGCATGTGGAGGGGCGTGTGTGTGTGTGTACGCATATGCACACATGTGCACACACACACACACACACACACACAAATATTTTAGAAGGGTCTTCAAAAAACTCATGGGGGGACCAGCAGTTAGCGTAATGGTTATGTCGCTGGACTCCCATGTAGTCGGCACCGCGGTTCGCGTCCCGGACCCGGTGGCTTAAAACTCATACCGGGCGCGTGTGCGTGCGTGCCCAAGATCCCGAGAGGAGAATGGAGGAGAAGGGATTGTGGCGTGGCCATCCCTCTGGGGGGTGATTTCTCATTTTCTGTCTCTCTCTGTCTGTGTGGCGAGTGCATGCGCCCTATAGCAAAAACGTCTCCAAAAAAAAAAAAAACCAACCAAACAAACAAAAAAAACTCATGAAAAATACCTTTTATAAAAAACTACGCATAGATTTCAAAATGTTTTGTACCAAATACTCATACGTTGATTCCATCTTTCCACAAGCTTTTTAAAGTCCCCTTATAGGGGCTGGTGGGCGGCATGGTAGTTAAGGCACTGGACTTCCACATGACCAGCCGTGGTTCAAGTTCTGGACCTGGCAGCATGAAAAACACACGGGGCACATGTGCATGTGTACCCCAAAAAATCCCCAGAGAAAGGACTGTGGCATGGCCATCTCCCCTGAGGGATGATTTCTCACTTTGTCTCTGTCTCCAGTGAGCACACGTGCCCTGTGGCAGAACACAAACAAATTAAAAGTCCCCTCTTACACACATATTCCATAGGCTACTAAGTAGTCATTACAAATATGTTTACCAAGAGTTTTCAATAACATGGGATGAGGCTGATTAATTTTTTTTTAATACATAACTTTTTTTCTTTTTATATTTGGCATGTGTTCTTGCCAGAGAGACAGAGAGACAGAGAGAGAAAGTGAGAGATCACCCCAGGAAAGATGGCCATGCTGCAATCCCTCTCCTCCCTCTCTTCTTGGGAGAGTGTTTCTCAAGCTGCTGGGTCCAGGACTCAAACCATGGAGCTGAACAGGTGGGATATAGCGCCTTAACCTGCGTACCACCTGCTGGCTCAAGACTCATTAACATTTTAAGTCAAAGAAAAATCTGGGGAAAAGAATCGTGTGCAATACAACACAGGGTGGTCTCTGGGTTGTAGATTCGTAGTTGATATTCTTTTGCTTTCAGTAATTTTTAAGTCTCAGAGAAATATATATTTCTCTTGCACTCCCCTCCACTGGAACGAAATAGGTCTGCTTCCTTTTGAGAAGGGCCCCCCACCCCTGCTCCCCTCCCCAGACAGGATTCTGTCTCAGTGGGGCTGGGTGCACTCTGACCTGGATTGTCTCCGATGCTTTGACCCTGCGACACTCAGACCCCTGAAACAGTGACAGTGGGTTTTCTAGGAGTGGGGTTAGGATGCTCCCTGCCACCTGCCCCTGCCTGGCCTCCCACTCCCCTCTTGCATCACAAAGGAAACCTGGGTGCTACCACCCACTTTGGAACCTCTGAGGGGCCCAGAAAGAAGTGGCTGCAATAGGCCAGGCTACCGGGTATGAAAGAGGGAAGGAGGAGCTGTCAAAGGTGCTGTGACAGTCTCCTTGGGTCAGAGATGTCAGGCACTAAGTCATCTCTGGGCCTGTTGAGGGCAGCAGAGCAGGGGATGCAGCTGAGAGGAAGCAGGCTGACACCCTGAGGGGCCTGGCCAAGGCGCCAATGCTGCTCAGGCACAAACCACTGAACTTTCCCCTGCAAGTGTGACTGCACCCTGGCAGGCCAGTTCCACTCAGGGCCAGTAAATGTGAACACACTGCTGGGGAGAGGGCCCCTTACCCTCTTCCTAGAGGGCTTATGGGAAGATGCCAGGTGTCTCCTGGACTTGGGGGCTGATCAGGCAAGTCTCAGAGTTAGGGAACACAGGCAAGAAGGGAGACACAGACAAAGGCACCCTGAGAAACCGGGCGGGAAACGGGGCTCAGTGCAGCAAAAGAAAGCGGGGAGCCGTGAGGGAATGTGAGCAGATGGTGGGCCTCCCTAGGCCCCGCTTACACACTCACCTAGCTCTAAGGCAGCAATGGCCACCCAGTAGGGGACAGTCACAAAATATAGCTGCTCAGTAAATGCTGGGAGTAACAGCAAAGGGGCAGCATGCACATTCCTGCGCCAAAGTCCAAGACAACAGAGAAGGCAGGGTCTGGCCAGGCTGCTGAGATGTCCCAGGACAACATGACACCAACCCAGGGCTGACAGGGGACTGGCTGGGCTGGGCTGGGCTGGGCTGGGTTTGTACGACACCCCTCCCAGGCCCCAGTTCCTCCTGAGCTAGAGACCTGAGGCCTGCAGGGGCCTTAGTCCTGCCCTGCTCAGACGGACAGATGCTGCAGCCTGTCTGCTGACCTGGCACAAACCTGCACTTACACACCCTTGGCAAAAGCAGGCTCAGCAGAGGGCGTGGCTGGCCTGCTCAGGGCTGTTTTCTCAGCTGTCTGCTCCACAGGGGGCCTCTTACCAACACAGACAACCTGCTGATTACCTCCCTACCTCCCACCAAGCCTGGTCAACAGGGTCATCAGCTATCTCCTGAGGAAAAGAGGCCTTGCCCTGTGGGAAGGCTGAAGACCTGCTGAGCTGGAAGGCTCAGAGGGCCTGGGACTGAGAAACCCTCAGGAAAGAGCACAGAGAACTGCAGGGTGGCCCCAGGGAACAACCCCCACCCTTGGAATCACCCTACCTAACCTGTCCCCAACAAGATCCCTCTCCCAGGAAATCTGACCCAGGACCCTGTCCACACTGCACTGCTTCCACTGCTGAGTCTTCGCATTCAGTTCTCTGCTACCAAGGGCAGTGATAGCTGTTGAGAACATGGATCCTCAAGTCAGGCTGCCCAGGTCTAATCCAGACATCACCTTACCACTAGGAAACCATGGACAAATCTCTCAATTTCTCTGTGCCTCTCAGTTTCCTCAACCATACAATGAGGCTACTTCATCGAGGTTGTCTTGAGGATTAAATGAGAAAATATATGCAAAGTACTTAGAATAGGACCCAGCACATTCCTGGAAGGAAAGGTCTGTGATTGCAGGGACTTTAGTATATTGTGTTCAGTACTATTTTAGGTACTCCTAGTGCCTGCAACAGTGCCTGGTACATAGTAGGTACTCAAAAAATACATATAAGGAAGAATGCTAAATTCGTGAGGGGCCAGGCAGGGTCTGACATGGATAAGCAAAGCATGAGGCAGAAGGGGTGGTGGGGCTGGGATGTGCTAAAAGATGCTCACTTCTGCCAAATGCAAGAGCTGCCACTCAACTCTGGGCCTTGGCTGCCATATGGGAATGTTGGCCCAGAAATGTCACATATTCCAAGATCT